GCGATGCGAAGGCATCAAACATTAATCAAACATGGCAGATAGCCATTTAGTACCAGACCTCCTCTTCTCAGTGTAAATCCGCTGGTCGGATTACAATGATTTTTTAGAACGTGTTTGTGCAGGAAAAATTCATTACTCCGGGGCCAGAATTTCAGGATTTTCTGCTTGTAAACAGATTTACATTTCCTTTTGCATTTTTCTTTTGATTTACATTTCCTTTTGCAGAAAAGCAGAAACGGGACTTAGGAAATTGTTTCTCACCTTTAATCTTTTATTTATCAGAGGAACATAGTCGCCAAAGTGGCGACTAAACTCGAACTTTCAGTCGCCAAGTAAAAAGTTGTAGTCGCATTGGCGACCGTATTGGTCGCAATTTCGAGCCCTGAAATTCATTTTATTTGCATTGCAAGCGATCTCCCCACATTAGCCCCTATTACTGAACAAAATAATAACATAATACTAGTAATAATCATTGATTAGCTGAGTGCGTTCGAGTCAGTACAGTTAAAAGCATTGAATACTGCCAAGATAGTTATATTGTCACACCACGTTCCTGATTTTGACATTTGCTGTGTGTAATTTTGGCCAGTATCATCCACCATAATGTTCTGTACTCATTCCAGCCATGCAAATTTGCAAGTGCAAATCTGCAGTTTTATAGGGCTGATGTGAAACAGACTGAAAGAAAACAATCACCACTGCCTGTACCACGAACATCCTACGGAATTTAAGGCTTTCACTTAGGCAATCCCAGGCTAATTCTCCCAAAACATGTCACAAATTTCCTTTTAAACAATTGTTGCAATAATTTCCAGAATACATCTAATATTCGCATGTAATCTATCACTGAGCTACATAAATTTTCAGAATAAATATTACTCTTGAAGCCCAATTTATGCTTGCATGACCAACTCATATTTTGATAGTGTTCACTTTTACACCAAAAGGACACTTTATTGTAACTCTTACCCAAATTCATGATAAATGAGGTGTTTGGCACACTATTCATAAACTGCTATGTTAAATTAGCACACACAGGATCAAGATCGGTTATTTAAAGTTCAATAAATGAAGGGTCAAAATATTAAAAAATATCAACAAATAAAACTCAACCTGATGTGTAAAACTGATAAAAAAACAAGAAATGAAATGAGTTAATTATTGACTTTGGAGGGCAAAACGAAAAATTTCCATTCTTGTATTACATACAACAGCCAACATTTGAGAAAACAACGGAACATAAAAGCGAAAGACACAAGTAAAAACCAATTTGAAAACAAGAAGTGAAATAATTTCTTCGCTGCGCGACGAAATATTACAGCGCAGCGAAAGAAAGATGAAAGTTGTAAATGAAAACCA